GCACTTACAACTGGAAAGGTATGACTTGGCTTCCTTCCTGCCTACCCTACCCATTTCCTCTGAGATTGCTCCCAAAGGTTGCATCCAGGGTTTAATTTTTTTTTAAGGGGAGAGAAGATAATAGGGATGCAATGATTTTACCCAGTTTTTACAAAATGCTATGCTTCTGTATCAACATTTACTGAAGTTTCTTTAAATATTTTCATATGTATTTATGAATAGATAATGGAACTTTGCACATTATGTACAGAAAATTTTCCCCTTATTAGTTTAATCTTATGGTGGGACTGAGGGCTCACTTGGACACTTCCATACAGGAACAAGCTGCTAAATTTGTATGAGTTACTTGACCAGCCCTTTTTTTTTGCATTTGAGCAAATGTTAGACAGCTGCTGAACTCTTTGTTTATTCTGCAGTATTCTCCCCTATAATCTTTGTGAAGTTTGTGGAATACAGTAGTTTCCAAAATAAATACTGAAGGGTAGCAGGAAGATAGCAGCAATACTACATATATTCATATCTAAATCCATACATGTCCATGTAAAATTTCATGGATAATCTAAGAGCCAAGTACTCTATGTCATCTAGGAGATTCTCTGAAACATAAGGGGGAAAAAACCTAAATGTTCTTTGTTAGTTTATATTCAGAAGCATCTAAATGGCCAGTTCAGTCTCTAGAAGTGATTTTTCCCATCACACTTCATTACACCAACAGCTGTAAATACTTTCCTCTTGAGAACATCTGATCCTCCAAGCATTGCATTTTTCCACCTCGTACACCTGTGCCTGGTGTATGAACCATGCAAAATCAGTGTGTTAAGCTCTGGCACAAGGTGTACTTTAGTGAAAACTTAATCTTCCACGTATCTGTCAAGAAAATCTGACTGACCTGAAACAGCATATTGAGTGCAGACACCATTTTACTTTAATTGCAGAGAAGTGCTAGTACAGTCCTAAGAGTACTCTTCTGTGTAATGGAAAAAGATGTTTGTGCTTGCCAAAACCTTAATTATACCATTTGATAAAAGGGAAGCACACCTTTTATTGAACAATAGGTTTTTTCTTCTTAAATACTGTTTCTAAGTATAATGCTGGTGTTTGTCATAATGAAATGTAGTTTTTTTTTTTAATTCCTGTGTACTTACCTCCTTTTTAAGAGAAGCTTTATAAGGCTAAGAAATACAGGATGAGGGTGGTTTATGACCAAACCAGTTCAATGGCTTTTTTTTTTTTTGAGAATTTCCTTAGTATTCCATGTTTTCCAGATCATTGTATGGCTTCTTTGTAGAGCAGCATGAACTTTTGGCACACAGAACAGAGACAAAACGCTAACCCAGTGCACTATTCTGTATTTGTCCCATTTTAACAGAAGTCACTATGTCATTCATCATAATTAATATAAGTTGGGGACATTTGTTATTTTTCTCACTTACCATTCGTTTGCTTTTATTTTATCATTTCACTTTTTCAGGGGTGGTTCGTGCAGAGCAAAAGAATCAGACATTTTATGATCTGGGTATCTTTGATGATGGGCCTTACGAAGTTGGTGATGAGAGCCGCCAGGATAAGAATCTAGTTCCTGTTCCAGCTAACAGTTACTTAGGTAGGATTAAGTACATGTGGTAAATCTCTTTAGGTCTGTTAAACATTTGTGATCCCAGCCTGGTGTGATAATCTGAAATGGGAGCAGATGTTCCATTATGGACCTTGTAACATGTTAACTGTTTGGGATAATTGACAGCCTCCCTCCACATTTATGGGCCAGTTTTAAGTGTAAGGTGATCCTGCTGAGGTACCTAGAAGAGCTGCTGTTGTAATGTGGGGTTCAAGAGCTGTGCCAAAGGCCTAAGGAATCTCCAGCAGCGATTATAATCACTGTGGTGGGTCAGTGCAATGAATGGGTCTGTAGTCCTTAGTTGCACAGTCTCTGCTATGTAGTATCAGAAAGTTTATCAAAATTTGTGTTTCTGGATGTAACTGTTAAGGCTATAGATTTTCTCTCCTGGTAGGTAAGTGCAATTCTTCTATTCTTCATGTTTTTAAAACTCCAGTGGCTTTTAACAGACCTTTTAAATGCCATAATATAAGTACTGTGTATATTTTACTTGTGTGTGTGTTGCAGGAGGTGAATCTCTTGCTCTTTGTGCAGTCAGGAAAGCAGGACTATGTCCTTAGGCCAGTGACCTTTCTGTGCACCAGGGAGATACACTGAAAAGGCTATGCTGCATTTCTGGAAAGGCATTAAGTGTAAAGAATCCTTCTGTTCCAGTGCAGATTTCTGTGGCGTGTTGATCCACTGCTTTTGGCATGTGCAACAAATAGAGTTTTGGCAACCTGAGACGGGAATTTCTGTGTTAGTGATGGAAAGCTGAATAGATGGGAAGGACATTGCTAATGTAAAAAGTAAAAAAAACAAGAAGAGAGCAAACTTAGAGCTACGTGTGTGTTAGAAGAAAGAGAACATAAACTTCAGTTTAATATCAGCAGTAATTACTGGGTGTAAAGGTAACTAGAAAAATCATCCTAAGAGCTTAGCTTAGACAAGCTGATAGCATCTTCTGGTGTAATAAGAATTGCTAAGGTGAGGAGTGCTATGGAGCTGATGCCTTTTGCTGTGACCAGTCATATAATCTTTTTCCAGTTGCTTAAGCAATGCATTTATCTCCTAAATGTAAATGCTGCATTGATTTGTAATAATCAGAACCACTTCCCGGCAAGCCAGCTCATCCCAGGCATTACTGTTCAGTCTGTTTAGACCATAAGCAAATGTGGTTATAGGTGCTTTGCTTAACTACTATTTTTTTTCTCTTCAATCTTTCACTCATATTTATAGGTCTTCTATTTTTGACAGCTGTATCTGATACTGATCCAGATCAGTTTGTGTACAAAACATTGCCTCCCAGCATACAGGTGGACAAGTCAGTGGATGTAATGATGAATAGCTACTTAGGTTTGTGACCACTTGAGGTGGCAGCATCTGGTCAGACATAATCTCCAGACCTTTGTCATGATCCTCTCCCCTCTATCCCTTCTCATATCAAATACAGTATAAGGAAAGCATGAAAAAAACAGGATTCAGATAAAGGGGAGACAGCAAAGTAACAAGACTTCAGAGAAAGGCTGATTTGTCATGCATTTCTCCAAACCTTCTCATCCTTCCCCCAGCTGGGACTCCCTCAGTTTTTTCTGGAACTGTCTCATTGTGAATTGCTGTAATTGAGAATTTGCATAGTAGTGGTGAAGTGGTTCAGAGGGAGACTCCCATCTGGCTGGTATCTTGCAAAGTGGGCATTTTTCTACTTTGGCCTTTACTGGCTATACTGGTATATGCAGTATAGTCTTTTAACTTTTTTTTATTTTTTATTTTAAAATGTATTGTAAGACTAAATTAATTTGAACATATCATTTTTAGGGCTGCACTAACTTCAAATTCCCCATTTCACCATTACTGTGTAAGCTGATTCTCAAATACTGCATACATCATTCATATGAGAATGCTTGTGCAGAACAATTTGCATGTTTGTGATAGAATGATACTTAAGAGGTTTTCTGATAATTTTTCCAGAGGTGAAGTACTCAAGCTATATTCAAGTGGTAAAGCTGTAATTGTGTCTAAGCTGTATGTATCCTGTGTTTGGTGACCATGAAAAGCAGATTCAAGTGAGCAATGAAGTACTGTGTTTTGTGGGGAAATACTAACTGTAATGTAGGGAGGAGTGTTTGTGGGAACGTAAAAAAGTGTTGACTTGCAAATATGTGTCCACCAGTGCAAACAGAAATGGAGAATTCCCAGACATAGCACACTGTGTTTTAGATAAAACTTGTATTCCACATACCACTTTAATATAGCTGGGGAAATGTGTCTTTTTTCATATTAATTTAGTTAATATGAAATTATTTATAGTTAATTTAGTTAATTTATGCTGTATTTTTTTTCTCTGTTAAAGGTTTCTCTTTGGACTCCGGTAAAGGAATTGTCTCCCAAGATGAGATGACTTTTGTGTCTGGTGCCCCAAGAGCGAACCACAGCGGAGCAGTTGTTTTACTAAAAAAAGAAAAAAATCAGAGAGCACTTTCCCTGGAGCACATGTTTGAAGGAGAAGGGCTGGCCTCCTCTTTTGGCTATGATGTTGCTGTTGTGGATCTCAACAGTGATGGGTATGGCTGTGGTTAACTCCTGCTGCCTGTATAATAAAGGATAGCGATCTTGTTTATTTCTGCTTTTGTTTTTCACATTAGAAATATAAGGAATGACAAAGCCCACCTTCCATGTTTTCCTGGAGGAAATAGTGAGTGTCTTGAGAATCAGTCAGGATAGAGTCTACCATTCTAATAAAGAGTTTTATTTAAACAATTATTATAAACAGAGAAACAAGAAACGAGTCTCATACCCAGGAAGACCATAGAAGGTCCTTGTATGCCATCAAGGGAATAAACCAACTTGCAGTGTCAGTGCAACCAGTTTAATGCACATTTTTGTTCAGCAGCTCTCTGGGCAGCTGATCTTGAGCTCACAGTCTGAGCAGTTATTTTTCAGAGTTCTTCTCCAAAAGCATTGCCTTTTTTTTTCCCTTTCATTCTAAGCTGGCAGGACATCGTTGTTGGGGCCCCGCAGTACTTTGACAGAAGTGGGGATATCGGGGGTGCCGTGTACATCTACATGAACCGCCAAGGCAAGTGGGCAGGGGTGAGGCCACTGCGCTTAAATGGAACCACTGACTCCATGTTTGGACTTGCAGTAGAAAACGTTGGGGACATTAATCAGGACGGATATCCAGGTAAATGGAAAACAGTGACCATAAAAATGTGAGATTGTTTGGCCAATGCCAGACATGCAGCATCTTACCCTTTGATTGCATGCTGCAGAAAGAGCAAGAATGATTTTAGATGTTGTAACTTATTTTCACCAGATATTGCAGTAGGGGCTCCATATGATGGTTTTGGCAAAGTATACATTTATCATGGATCCAAGAATGGAATAAATACAAAACCAGCACAGGTAATGAAATAACCTTTATTATATAATTATTCTTGAACAAAATTAAAGGAATGATAGGGCTACTATCCATCTTCCTTTCCATTGCTATTATTGGGGTGTTGGCTAAGCAGGAATGCAGGGCCCTTTAAAGATTGGACTGCTGACAGGAAAGATTAAGAATTCTTGATATTAATATATATATTTTTATTTCTGGGGCTATCCATTGGCACCAGTAATATATGAAGAAGGAAAAAGATGTATAGATAAATTATGGTTTTTGTTTTTTTTTTTTTAAATCTGTTGATTTGAAAACAATTAGTTTCTTTGTTTTCTCTTTCATTACTATTGTTTCACTTCCTTCCTAAAAATGTTTGGTTGGTTGTTGTTGGTTTTTTTTGTTGTTTGGTTGGTTTTTTGTTGTGTTTTTGTTTTGTTTTGAGGGTCACTGTGTCCAATTTGCAGAGTGGGAATGGAACTTCATTATACTCCGTAGAATACTGCTTGAATACTTTATAGAATATGTCTTCTGTTTCAAGTGTTGATAGTCCATAAATACTGTAAATAAAGATGAACTAGGCTCTTGGCAGATCAGTAATTTCTGGTACTCACTGCTATTGCCAAGTAACTTCTTGAAAGAAGAGCAAATCATCCTGGCACTTCATTATCCTTTAGCTGAACTGAGCACAGAGGTCCTATTTCAGAGGTCCTTCCTCATTGTATCTCTTTCCCTCTTTTGTCTTTGCCTGTAAGACAGTTATGTTTACTTGTTACTTACTTTACCTTTATCACTTTTAAATGTCTGAATTCCCTCAATCTGTTTCCTTTTTAGATTATTGATGGTGAAAAAACAAACACCAATTTCTTTGGTTACTCTATTGCTGGAAATATGGACCTGGATAAAAATTCCTACCCTGATGTTGCTGTTGGTTCCCTGTCAGATTCTGTAAATGTGTACAGGTATTATATATGGAACCTTAATTAATTACACCAGGGCTTTGGGATAAACAGCTTTACTTTTCAGGCAGAACAGCCCTTTCTAAATGTTATGCTCCCATCTCTAAGCTGTATAGGATCTGTGCATATAATTGTAATGTTCTTAAATACACTGGAACGGCGCCCAAGAACAGCAACTCACATGGCTTGTGGAAGAGAACAGAGTAGGTGGTAGAGAAGTTGGTCAGATTATTTAGCATTCTGCTTACTCAAAAGGAGCTTTAATATTTTGCTGATAAAGGCAGGACAAAATCTTCTACCAGGATGAGAACAAAAACCTCTTACAGTGACAAACAGTGAAAGGAGTGGCCCAGTTACATGGAGCAGGTGGCTTACCAGCTGCTTTAAACAACCTTTGGATGCTTTAATGAGAACAGGGTCACCTCATTCATTTGTTCCTGTGAAATGTCTTCTCCCATCCAGAAGGAGAAAAGACAGGTTGTCAGGCAGAAGTATGGTTACAGCCTACATGCAGAAGAAGCAGGAAACACCATTTCCCACAGCCACCAGGCTCTTATGAACATGAATCTGAACGAACTGTAGTACCTATAGTTGTTCCCAGGGGCTGAATTACTACTGGTGGTAGAAGCCACCACTGACTTTTCTGTTTTTTATAAGTGTATAGAATGACAACAGCAACATCACATTACTGTAGCCTGCTTCCCCCTCAGGATCTGTAATTGTTCTCAGTGACCTTTGCTTAGCTTTTAATAGTTTTCAGATTTTTTTCTAACCAGTGTCAAAGCCAAACTCTGTGTTTTTTGGAGTGTCTTTGTTGAAATCAGTGCTGGTGTGGAGGGAATCTGATATTCTCATTAATAATTTCATTAATATTAACAGAAATTACTTATTTTTTACATCTTTTTATTCCCCGTTTTTCCCCCAAATGAAGATCTCGGCCTGTGATAAGCATTAGAAGAAACATTACAGTACAGCCTGATAGAATTGATCTAAAGAAAAGGAACCCTGAGGACCATGGTGAAATCAGGTAAATGAAAAAAAGAAATTAGAAATTACTCTATGAGAAGCCTTGGCGTATTGAGCTTACTACTGTCGAAATTGATTCAGTGATCATGTTTAAGTGAAGGGATATGAGAGTCATGCAGGTTAAGCAAATGTATCTGCATATGTTCATTTTGACTTCCTGAATTTCTTCAGGCTGCTCTGCTAAAGACAAGGTATGGAATATGTCCTCATGACGTTCATTTTTGAAAATGAATGTCACCTTGCCTCGTCAGACTTTTAACAAAAGTATCTTGGCTTGAACAGCTTTGTTTTGAGTAGAGACATTAGAGCAAATGCTTAATTGCTTATTAACCATTTTTTCTTGCTTTAGAATTCAGTCTAGTAAGCAGTAAATACCACAGTCATAAGACTGATAAGTTAAAACTTTTCATTCTGTTGGAACATGGCTTAATAAAAATTAGTACTAATTTCTTGGCACTTTTTACAGGATGGATGTGAAAGCATGTTTTAAATATACTGCAAACCCCAGAAATTTAAATCCAAGAATAAGTAAGTTCTGAAGATAAGTATTTTTGATCTGTTTGTCACATGTTTTTTTTTTTTTTTTTTTTCTTAAGAGTTCATCATGGAAACATATTACTCAAATTATAGTGACTCATCTCAGACAGTGACTGACAAATTTAAAATGTGACTCAGTGCTAAGCTCAGCTGTTGCACAGTCTGTATTTAGAGTCGTGCTGGTGTGTTAAGCTGTTCTGTGGATGACAGACTAAAGCTTTCTAAGTAATACAACTGCCAGTGAGCAAATGGCTTCTATACAGATCCAAACCATTTTCCCTCTCTAGGTTAGTGCTGCTTTAGAGAATTCTAAACCTTTTTTAAGGCCCATTTTATACATCCTTAGTGAGCATTATTTCTATTTGGAGGTTTACCGTATTAACCTATCCTGTATTCATGAAAATGGTTTGGTGGAAATCATTGACTGAAATAAATCTGCATTAATAGAAGACTGTGCCATAAAGATGTAAAGCACTTGTTACTACCTCTTGGAGAACTGTGTAAGATTTTGAGAGGAAATCAGAAGAACTTTAAGCCCAGTGACCTTTTTTCTCCTATATTGTCTTGAGTTTCTCAGTTACTTTTAAAATCCAAAGGCTGTGCCCGAATGAGAGCTGGTCCTTTAGCAGGTGAAGTGCTTGCAGCTCTCAGTGCCTTGGCACACTCGGTGCTGTTTCCATCTGTGCAGCACTGAATTAGCTCAGTGAAGCAATCATTAAACGATGCACCAAGTTCGGATCTAGGAAAGCAGGCCTCAGCACACAGCTGGACAGCTCTAGTCGCACTTCTGCTTTCAGTGTTGAAATTACCGGTGTATCTTGAACTCAGAATCCTGCTGGCTCTCAGGTGCTGTTGGGGACCCTGCAGGAATCCCCTGCAGCACAGTTGGGATATTCACAGTGGGTAGCTCAGCCCTCTGCTGGCCCCGTACGGCAATCACAGCTCCCCCAGCCAGCCCCGCATGCCCGAGGGAGCGGTTTATGAGGTTCCGGAATAACAGGATTTGGTCTAGAAATTTTCTTTAGATTTACACACAGGGTACCTGGCCCTCAACTTGTGGCAGGACAAAACTGACATGGAGAAAGTTTATTTTTTTTAAATGACCGAATGCAGTTTGTGAAGCTCAGCACTGTCTGGAACAGTCTTCTAGAATAATGCTTAAGATCATATCTTGTGAAATTAAAGTTATTTTTAAAATGGCAAGGATTCTTTTTTTTATAGTGACCTACTTTATTTTTTCACATAGAGATCAATTACACATTTGAAGTGGAAAACGAGAGGCGGCAGCTGGGCCTGCCCTCCAGGGTGCGCTTCAGTGACCACCCGTCTGATCAGTTCACTGCAAGTACAACCCTCAGGGGACAGAACTCATGGGAGTGTGTGACTACAAAGCTTATACTGCAGGTAAGGGAGAGTATTCTATTTCTGTTTCATTTAGATCCACTTAAAGCAAAAGAATACTCTTTTTTGGCAGCCTCATGGAAGGAACCTTTGTATATAATTTTGTATATAATTTAAAAGTCATATGCAATATAAAACTTCAAAAATAGAAACCCACCATATTTTACTATTCTCTGCATACATGCTGCTTCCTCCTGTTGCCTTTCTTTCAAAGTATGGATAAAAACTAGCCACTGCAGCACACTCTGGTGGTCAATGGAGCTGAACTAATTTCGAACCACAGAGAGCAACTAAGTGCCAAAAACAGAGAGCTGCTTCCAACAGAAATAATTGTTAGAGAATTTTAGGTTACTGTTCAGGAAAAGAATTTTAACCCATGGGTTTTGGTGTGGATGAATGGACAAGGTGAGAAAGGTTGATATGTGCTCTCTGGACTTGGCTGCTGTAGTGGCGCCTAGAGGTGGTATTGCTCCAGAGGCTAAACACGTTCCCTCTTCATGGCTCAGCAGGAATGAGTCAGCCTCCAAGGTTGATTTTGACCGCAGCAGATTAAGAACTTAAATTTATGAATAGAATAGAATCATAGAATGATTTGGGTTGACACCTTTTACTAGACTATATTACTCAAACCTGTTCCAGTGTGTTATTTTACTATAGCTGTGTGAATTTCACCTGCCTGAAGTACTGTCTGTGGTTCTTAGCAATTCTTAATGGTGAGAGAAATTGTCAGATTGGGAAACCAGAGGGAAAAAAAGGACAATAGTGCTGGGCTCTTTGTGTTCCTGCATGTTTAGAAAATGCTGAATTTATATACAGTATCAAAGCTCATCTTCATGTTGTTTTTTTATTCTCTGCACTGTATACTAATGATGCAATTTAAAATATTTTAACAGGAAAAAATTAAAGATAAGCTACGTCCCATTCCAATATCAGTCAGTGTTAAAATTGCTGGCCTGGAGTCACCATCCAAGAGAAAAGAGAGCGCACTTCCAGATCTTATACCAATTCTAAATTCAAATGAATCTGAAACAGAGACCACAAAAGTAAGTCTTTGATACCATATATTCACAAAAATCTGTACTTCTACAAATAACTTAATTTTAAAGACTGGAGAAAACTAAATTATGTCCAGAGGAAATAACTGGGGTGGCACTGGACATGTAACTATTGGATTATTATTTTATCTTTTCTTCTGAACTTGTTACAACATTTAGGAACTCTGTACTGTGTTCTCCTGCAACAAAAGTGATGATATAGCTCCTTGGTTTCTTCCCTCTCCCCAGCAAGTTAAGGAGGAAGTGTACTTTGATTAAAAATAGAAATTCATTGGATCCTCCTGGGAACATTTGTCCAACATAACCAGATAATGTCCACTCTTAATTTGTCCACTGTTAGGATACTGGAATGGCATTTGAGCAGTGACTGCAGAAGTGACATAGAAGGAAGGGAGTATCTCCATTAAAGATTCTCATTTCCTCAATGCTTATTGAAGAATCACACTTTTAAGATGTATTTTCTCATAAGAAGCGGACCTCTCATTTAGAATTATCCAACTCTGCTTTTTAGTTCTAAACTACCAGCATCAAGGGCTGTATCTCACAAAGCAAAACTCAACAGGCAAGAATTAAGTCAGGTTAAAATCTGAGCTCTGTCCAGGAAAGTGTCTTGTGAGTTCCATGTAGATGCTTTAGTCAATGTGCTTCAGAAATCTGATTTTAAGCTACTATTGTGTGTCAGGCAGTAAAATTGGTTTGGTTTTATTTAGGTGGAGTTCTTAAAAGAAGGATGTGGAGAAGACAATGAATGTCACAGCAATCTCAAACTTCAGTACCGTTTTTGTACGAGAGAGGGAAATGAAGACAGGTTTACTTATTTACCACTGTAAGTCTCGATTAATATACTTCTAAAGTTCAAATTATTAACAAGTCCTTAAAAGAACTTTTAGGATAGGATTTTGGGAAAGAGAGCAGCTTTTTTCTGTGTATGGCAGACACAGCCCTTGGTAACAGTATTGCTTTTTCAGGGTGAGGAATGGGGGCAGAGGGGAAGAGCTTGAGAAGAAAAGTGGTTCAGAGTTGAATGGATACTAAGTGGCCACAGTAGCGCAGGGGTGGGCAATTTAACACCTGGAGAAATTATATTCTAAACCACCCTTGCAGTAGTTTATTGTATGACACTGTTAATTATTTTGCAGATGAAACTTGACTCTATGACAGAGTATGGTCGCATAGCCCAAGAGAAGTTGTTACAGAGAAGTGCAGTGATGATTTAATTTTAACACATGCCCCAGCACCCTGCTGCAGCCCTCCTTCTTGGTGGGTCAGTGAAATTGGAGCGGGGGGTAAAACAGACAAACAAACAAATGTTTATTTGCTCCCAGCATTCAGACATTTTTAGCAGTGAGTGCCACACTCGGAAAGCAAACCCATGTATACTTTACAAGATTAAAGCAGGTCAGTAGATGCATTTGGAGAAAATTCATCACTACATGAGTCAGATGGAAGTGCTGGTTCAGAAATACTTTAAACTCCTGATTACTTGAGGGATTTAGCATCCTCTTCTGTCCTCTTCACTACTGTCAGATGAAATACTGGTGTGGGGGAAAAAACCTATGACTATGAATGTTCATAGTTTTAGTATAATTCTCTCCGAATAAGAGGAAAATGTATGTGGATAAACAATCATAAGAAGCAAACTTGCATACACACTTGTTTTCCTAATGCACAGAAACCCTGTACATTCTGTTTCTTTAGTGAAAATGGCATGCCAGTGCTTGTTCTGAAAGACCAGAAAGATATTGCCCTGGAAATAACAGTGACAAACAATCCATCTGATATAAAAAATCCACAAAAAGATGGTGAAGATGCATATGAAGCTAAACTAATTGCAACTTTTCCAGACAGTCTGACATACTCTGCATTCAGAGAGATGAGGGGTTATCCTGTAAGTATTTTTAAGAGAAAAAATACTGAAAATTTTAAAATATTACCAGCATATTTTTACTTGTAAATGTGTTCTGTTTAATCAGGAAAAACAGCTAACATGTGGTGCTAACCAAAATGGTTCTCAAGCAGAGTGTGAACTTGGAAATCCTTTCAAAAGAAATTCTAATGTAAGTTGCACTTACTTTACTCTAGTTGTAAAATCTCATTCTGACTAACTGCAGTCATCCAAAGTTCCTATGTGTCGCAACTGGAAGTTTCATTTGGATCTGTCTTTTTAACTCTAGAACTTAATACTGAAATTTTCTATAAAATTTCATATATCAATATATCTTATAAAGAGCTCATGTATTTATCTTCTTTCTTGTTTAGGTAACCTTTTATCTGATCTTAAGTACCACTAAGGTTAATGTTGATACAACAGACTTAGACATTGACCTGAAGCTGGAAACGTAAGTTTTCTTCATGTGCATGCACCTGCACTTTGCTTTGATATACAGTTGTAAACATTTTGAATGGATTTGTTTGATTCATAGAAGTAATTTAACAGTAGAGAGAAACCCACTAAATTTGTAAAATAAACACCATTGTTTTCTTTTCATTGTAGAACAAGCACTCAAGTTAATTTGACTCCAATTACAGCCAGTGCTAAAGTGGTTCTTGAATTGCTTTTATCCCTCACTGGGTAGGTGTTGATAGCATGAACAATTGGGGGATCTGGGGACAGTGTGCTTCTGACTCTTCAAAATCTGATTATTCTCCTTTCCCACTCCCACCTGGACAGAGTTGCTAAGCCTTCTCAAGTATATTTTGGAGGTAACATCATTGGTGAGAGTGCAGTGAAGTCTGAAGATGATATTGGAAACCTCATAGAGTATGAATTCAGAGTGAGTAATTTAGGTTAATGCCAACAGCTGCTTTTAATCAAATGCACAGCTTCTTGCTTTATGCATATGAATACTTAGAAAAGTTGCTATAATGAAATTTGCTTTCTTTGTCCCAAAACCATGACTTGCTGTTCAGAACATGCAGTCTGACTGTGGGTAAAGCTTCTTCAGCCCTTGATATTTTATGATCGTATTCTAAGGAAGTGGCCTGAGGCTGCCTGCACACTTTTTTTTTGGAGCAGGTCATGCACAGTTTTAGGGCATAAAATCCCTGCAGGGAGGGAACAAAGTTGAAGCAGAACCTGCCTGGGGCCTGCCCAGGCATTGGCTGGTGCACACAGGCAGCAAGAGCAGGCTGAGCACAGACCCAGCGCAGGGAGGTGCTGCGAGAGCCCCTCTGAATGTGTGAGCTTATTCCACTGTCTTGGTCTTCTGCATAATACAGCAAGGAGGAGACTAAAAGAAATTAAAGTCCATCTCTGTCAATCCTTCTTTCTTTACCTGGTCCATGTATTATAGCAGCAGCAGTTAAAATATCTGATTTAAAATGTGCTAGCATGATCAGTAACACTAATAAGTAAAAAAAGAGGTTGGGAAAAAACTTTAAAACTTACAAGAGCAAGAGCTTGTTCTTTGTGTCAGAGTTCCTCAGAAACCTTGCAGTTTGCCTCAGTTATGCAACTGATTTGTTAACTCTAAATTGGAGCTGTTGTTTCACATGAAGATTAATTTCGAAAAATCAACAACTAAAAGTTCATGTTAGGGAATTCTAATCCTTCTATGTATTTACTTGCTCTCCAAGTATGCTAGTTTTAGTATATGCTTTGTACTATTTTGACTGATCTGATCTAAATTTCCTGTTAGCTGCATGGTTAACGCTTGTCCAAGTCAATAATGTTTTCAGGAATAAAATCCCTCTGAAAAGTATTTCACAGTTAAACATTCTTTAAACAGGTAACTAACTTGGGCAGACCACTGAAAACATTTGGCACTGCTTCCTTGGACATCCAGTGGCCCAAAGAAATTAGTAATGGCAAATGGCTGCTTTATTTGATGAAAATAGACTCCAAAGGCTTGGAAAAGGTCTACTGTCAACCTGAGAATGAAATCAACAGTTTGCATGTTGCGGTATGTTACAGTCTTCTGCTGGTGAATTGTTACAACATGAAAGCACCCCACAGCAAATGAGAGTCAGGCATGAGAGCTTGCCTCTAGGAGTTACTTTTTATCTTGAGCATCTCACAAGCACAATCCGTGACCTGTGTATCAGTGAATAAGCCGATCAGGAGACTTCTAACAGCCAATGAGGCTGATATGCTAAAGGATAGATGCTATGTCACAATGACTGTTTTTGCAATGGGCACTGCTGTCATAGGCTCTTACACAGGATGAAACTGCTGACTGTTCTAACAAATTTTATCAGTATTATTGAAAACTGCTCAGTAATAAAAACATCTGAGTTCTTACTCAAAAAACCAAGAAATAACGAAATATTTTCCCAGCCTAGGGGCATTCCATGTTCTTTTTTGAAGACAAGGGGTTTGAACTTAAATTTATTTATTTACCACAAATATAATAAAAAGCAATTTTCATAGCCCTGGATTGTTCCTATCTAGCAAAATCTTCTTCCTAAAACTTAAGCCTCATTTTTTAATTCTTCATATAACCTTAAGGTTACATAAGGAGTTTTTATTTTCCAGCATTAAAACTGCATGCACATAAACCTGTTTTCTGTTTTTGTCAGATCATTGTATTAGTTAATATAACTTGCAGTGAGTGTAATTAATATACAGTTTAAAAAACCTGTATCTTCTGACCGTAGCACATTCTCACTATTTTAGCAGAGTATCGTTAATACCCTTTATCTAGAAATAAAAATGGAAATAGCATTGAAAGCTTTATAAAGCTAAACCTCCCCTTGCCCTATTAAAAAAAGTAGTCTGTTGGCCTTTCTTTCAGTAATCTGAAATTTTATTCTTTCCAGTAAATACAGATAAGTAGACTGACAGAATGCTGTCAGTCATGTTCTGATTTTGGAAGAAGAAAACACTAAGCTCTAGTTTCTCTGCTTGATTGAATTAATAGATTCTTAGATAAACTGCTTTCTAGTTTTTTACTTTTTTTTCCTTGTAGGAATCCCATAACTCAAGAAGGAAGCGTGAAGTTGCAGAGAAGCAGATTACAGACAGCCAGGCATTTTCTTTATTCTCAGAAAGAAAATATAAAACCTTGGTAAGGATATTGCAACAGCTGTATTTTTGTCAGATACATCCCTCAGCACTCGAAAGAGGGCTTTTCCGACTTTGGCAGAGTGAAAGAAATTCTCTTTCCCTTTTTATCTTGCATCCAAATATTGATGCTTTTAAAATTTGAACATTTAGATTATCTGTTCTGAGGAAGAACTAGGAAAGAATTATCTGCATAGTTACTTACCTTTGTATTTTCCCTTTGCTGTTAGTACAGACAGAAGATGGTCTTGCATATAGGTATGATGCATATAATCCAGTATTTAATCTTGGGGTGAGGTTTAAACAATCTGTGAAGATGTGATCTTATTTACATGTAGAAACCTGTAATTGCAGAGCTGTAATGTGAATGCACGCTGTGTGGATATAAAGTGTCCCCTGAAGGGTTTGGACAGCAAGGCATCTATTGTGCTGCGTTCCAGGCTGTGGAACAGCACCTTCTTAGAGGTAAGTCCTCTTACCTGCTCTTCTTAAAAGCTCAGAGTTCTTCCCTGTTCTGTGTCTAATATTCATGTTTTATTTTGGAACAGGAATACTCCAAAATGAATTATCTTGACATTCTTGTTAGGGCTTCTATCAGTGTTCCTGCTGCAGCTAAGAATGTTAAACTCACAAATGAAGTTGCTCAGGTAGGTTGAGTGTTTAATTCTAACCACATATTATGGTTGTGGTTGTTCTACCTGATCTCCAAAGACCAGGAATGAAACAGATTTAAAACAAAACTAGCTAAAAGTTTAACTTTTTAACTGAGTTTTGAATTATTGATAATTTTTACCTTTTAATGGAGTTTAAAAAATTCATTACCATATCCAAATGATACCAGTGGGACCTTCAAAAGCATTTGGGAGAAGACATCTTGTTAGAGGAGCAGTAAGACTATATAAATTGCAGCTTTCTAATTTAACATGTACCTTCTAAAATACTCCTTCCACCTGCACGTTTTCTGTCCCGTAGGTGCGTGTTACTGTATTTCCTGCAAAACCAGTAGCCCTTTATACAGGAGTTCCATGGTGGATCATTGCAGTGGCTATCCTTGCTGGAATACTCATGCTTGCACTGTTGGTATTCTTACTATGGAAGGTGAGCTTTTATTAATCTGCTTATTTTTTATTTTCTGTTCTGTAAATGACAAGATACCAAACTAATGAAGTATTTGGAACTCAAAATAGGGCAAAATTGCACAAATCATACATTATCAGTTTCTCAGTTTTGCAACACTTGGAATGAAAATGGTTGTACGGGCAGACTTGTCACATAATATTTCTGTTTTCACATCCTCAAAAATAAGTATTTTGAGCTCCAGATGAAACTTGAGACAAATGTTCAGAGGCCATAGTTTGACACAGATGGATAGAAGCATTGAGAGCCTCTGCAGTTAGGGGTAAAACTTCATGTGAGCCATTTACAAATTCTTTAGTAGGGCACTGTTCTCATAACATCAGAAAAACCATTAAATTGATAGTAGGTGAAAATAACCAAAAGCACAATATTAATACATAGCCAAGTGTGCTGGTGAATTTCTTATTATTGCTTTTTTAATATTAGAAACCTTGAATAAATAAAGAGGTAGAACAAATGGTTAACTATTTGCAAAAGAAAAAAATGAAGTATCTTTTTTCTAATGACTTGAGTAAATAAAGAGGTAGAACAAATGGTTAACTATTTGCAAAAGAAAAAATTCAAGTATCTTTTTTCTAATGACCGTTGTAAAAATGCCAATTATTTGTGGTCCCAAGTATAACAGAGCAATCCTTTTAATCTTAGTTTTTATAGGTGTAGGCAGTTAATATTTGCTGTTATGGGATAGCAGAAGGTTATTAAGGAAGAGGAGGTGAAGAATATCGTCTCTGTCACTTTTTTTTAGTGAAATTGCAGCAGTTAACTTTGAGGAGCTATTGGCTGCAAGTTACTTCCCATTGGACAGTTCTGATTTCCTTATTTTCTAAAAAATGCCCAGCTGTTCCTGTAAATACTCCTGATAAATGAATACTGGGTGGGCTTTTAGGTTCTAACTACTAGTGTTTTACTGTGCATGAAAATAACAAACATTTTTGACAAGTACACACAGTGAAAAATGCTGTTTTTGATGACACAGACTGTGCTGTTCTATGAAGGACAAACATCATACTGGAAAGACAGATACATCATTGGTTTAAGAAAAAAACTTGTACTGAATGGGTCACACTGGTTTTGTTCTACACCCTGCAGTTTTGTCTGTCCTGTGCACTAGTCCACAAACAGGTTTCTGTATGGGCTTCTTTCTGCTCTTCACAGCCACCTTCACTTGCTATGTGTATACGTTATTGTAGCTTTTCTTAAAAAAACCCAAACAGATTCTCTACAAATTTGTCAAAATGCCTCTGAAATTATATTCTCAGGTTACTCTGTTAATAACTTGGGTTATTTTATTCTGTTACTGTATAGACCAAGTTAGCCCAAGAAGTTCTCAGATCTAGAAACAGCCGAGTTCTTGTTGACTTTTTTCTTCTTGTTTCTTTGGCATGTGAAGGGATAATGGGAAGACAGGTGACAGACTTAAGTCAGTTTTAATAGGTTTGACTTCTTCCAGTCCACAAAAAAATGACTAAATACCTTGCTTCCTTGTAGTGTGGTTTCTTCAAGAGAAATAAGAAAGATCATTACGATGCCACATATCACAAGGCTGAGATCCATGCTCAGCCATCTGATAAAGAGAGACTTACTTCTGATGCATAGTACTGATCTACTTCTGTAATTGGTAACTGATGATATTTTTTAATTGCTAGCTGTGGCACATGCTATGGTTGCAGTGGCTAACTGTGAAGCTTTTTCTGCATAAGTTCTATTAACTTTTGGATTTCAAGCTATCATACTTGCTTGCTCCTTCTGTTGATAGATTTCCAGCTTCTGGTGCATGTGAACACACAGAGGTTTATGCTGGTCTAAAATGCTTCTTATTTATTTTTTAAAAAACATGGTGAACTGTTGCAATAGTTTTCAGTATTTTTTTTAATTTATGCTTTAACATTACAAATAAGTCTTTAAGCTTGCAAGATGGGAATCAACACTGTGCAGTTAAGATGCAAAGATAAGAATACAGCAACAAAACATAAATTTGCTTTACTAACCTTTAGTGCATGCTGTACATGTTGCTTACATTGGAGAAGGGTTTTCATAACAAGTATTTATTGTAGGTCTCACACCTGTTTTATTTGAGTTCCAAGGTGTACTTCTCTAGGAACACACTTTGCTGAAGTTACAAGATGCATGATGATTTATGCTTCCAGCAACCTTTATTCCACTTAAGATATGACATGCATGTACATTGTATCCATAAGTGTACTTGGGATGAGGGAGTGGGGAGGAATTCTTCATGAATTATTTCAAAACAGTGTTTAATGAAACGGCCAATGAATTGGTCTTTGCTCACTGTAATTTAAAAAAATTCTATCTAAGTTCTAATATTAAAAACCCCCCAAACCATGGACCAAACAGAACCAAAAAATCCAGCACCCTAACACTATGAAAAAAAGCTTGCTCGCTTTAACGTGTTCTTACCCCCAGCAGTATCTAATGACAGCTGGATGGCACAAGGTCTCTGAACCTGAATCTTGATCCATAAGGATGGTCAGTGATCCATAAGGATGTAAAGCTGAGTGTGTACAAGTCATTATCTTTGTATATTGTGGCCATAGCTCCCTTTTGTTTTGGAAATCAGTTTTAGTCCATGCCTTGATATTCAAAGTCAGTTTTTACAGTGGCTTTGAATAAAAAAAACTGCAGAGCTCAAATAAGCTGTTACAGGTTTCATCTAGGGCGACTTCCCATGGCAAGCAAGACTCATGTTTCTAAGACAGCATACGTGTAGTTAGTTCAGGTGACTGAAGTGGAAATGGTGCTTTGAAAACCAAGGCCCTTAGGGTAACTTTTTTTGAATGTTCTGGAAATCTTTCTGTAGGTTCTTAAGGGTAAATCATGTCATCATACAGGAAGACACTGAAGTTCATACCCACCTTTGATTCAGGAGAAGTAGCTTTCCTGTGTGTAGCAGTAAATGTCCTCATTAGATGAATGAACAGCTTTGTATTGGAGGGAATCTTTTTAAGGTACTTCATTACCATGGCTAGTCAGAGCATGCCCTTTGTCTTTAACTGCTGCTGAACAGCTAATTCAGGCCTCTTGGCTCACATTTTTACAGCTAAATATGCTACATTTTTGGCTTACGTATGTCTGTTTTCAGTTTTCCTACCCATATATTTGTGTGAAGAAAGAATTTCCTGCCTCTACATTTGTAGTACTTTGGCAGGAACTTCCACCTGAACTGTTCTTTTCCGTCTCTGCACAGTGCGGGTTCTTCCGGCGTTCCAGGTACGAAGACAGTGTTCCCCGCTATCACGCTGTAAGAATTCGAAAAGAGGAGCGACAGATCAAAGACGGGAAAAGCCAAGACCTTGAGACAAAACAGTGGTTCACCAAATGGAATGAAAATGAAAGTTATTCTTAGGCAAAAATGTTGTTTATCCACAAAGTTCAGATAGAGGGTAAGGTTTTAATTCATGGAATCCTGATGAACCTAACCTGTGAACACTATGGACATTCACCATTTGATTGTAGATATTACTACTTATATTGAGGCTTTTATTTGCACAGTTAAAGTGGCTTCAACAGACTTCATTTGCCTTATTTAATTTCCCCACTGCCTCTTCATCCCCTTTAAATCTAACCCACACTACAGATAATATTATGCTGATGTGGGTCTTTTCTGCAAAATAAGCAAAACCACTACAGCAGACCTTTTAATTCTCCTGTGATCCTGACTTTCTTCCTTGTTATTTAAGGCATGGATGATTAAGGTCAAGATGAGTTCTCCACTGTTCCCTCAATGCACAGTGCATTATAAACACACAGTGGCCTTAGCATACTTTGTTCAAGTATAACTGAAGACCTGCAAGTCTGCTTTAGTCATAACCTTTGCCTGCTGCAGTAGTTAGGGCTTAACAAAAAGCATCATCTTAAATTACATGTGCAATGGGTCATGTTGCTTGATTTTGGGTCCTTTTTTTTTTAAGATCAGATTGTGTGATTCTTGCTCACAACAAATATACACAGGTTTTTTTTTAAGAGAGGCTTGAATATTAGATGTTCTTTGTGTGTATATATATATATTAGTAATTTTTATATTTATTTTTATTATAAATCATTGTCTTTGACTAACTGGTAGGCTGAAGACTACTGAATTTTTAAATCCACTGTTCTGGTTTTTGTGTTTCTCTGTTTGAACTTCAAATTATGAGACCTGAGGCTTTCACTGCATTTTAATAAATCACTGAAGGTGCCAATGCTTTCTAAAATGTAAATATTTATGCAAATGATGTCTATGGGTGCTTTCTTTTCCTGATACTTGTAACATCAGGTCCTGTAACATGATTTGTATATTACTGTGGACTGTTTAACAATTTGGACACCAAAGTGAAGTAGTGTTTTAGATACCATTTTATACTCACGGCAAGAAAGTGAAAAGTCCTTTGGAAACCTCATTCCAGCTTCATAAGGACTTCCTAGTTGGCAAAAGGCCTTGACTACTGCAGCTGTTGTATAGCACTTGGAGGCTACAGATGCCTTACTTACCTTAACTGTCAGGATGTGAGCTGATCACGTTGAGACTACTGAATCGTCTTGAATACCTGAATGTTGATAAGTCGAACCATATTAGCAATCTGGTTATTGTAACTAACTGAGAGAATGGTTTAAAGAGTCTACTTTTTTACCCATATTCTAAAGCCTTGGTACTATTTAAGAACAAAGATTTAGCTCACACTTATGTATTCCATGGGAAACAAAATTCTGCTCAGAAAGTATGCATGTTTAATTGCTTCTACTATGAACTATGCAAAAACCTCTTGGTACTTTTTCCCCTCATAGGGTAAAAACCTGCTAGGAGGGCAGTAGTCAAATATCTTATTTTTACTGCTAATTTTGAATGTACCTTCTTGGAAGGTGTGGTCACCTAAAATGTTACCTTTTAGTGTTAACTAAGATGAGTTTATTAAACTAGATAATCTCAGTATGTTATGACCCTGACTTTATGAATGCTTACATATTAATTCAGATGTTACCCAATTTTTTAGCTGTTAGAATCCTAGTTTATTTGCTTAAAGGCTCAGCAGCATCAGAAGCCAGGCTCAGCAGGGGGTAAGAAGCTTGAGAAATACCCCTGAGTATAAAATCAGATTGTGGCCCTTATCTAAGAACATGAATGTCTTAGCAGTGTTAAAGTTCTTGAAAAATAAGTCACGTCATTGGTATATATTTTTATCTCAAACTTTTGTTATACCAGCTAAGAATGCTACATCATTCCATGATTAGAAATTACCTGTGGATATTTGTATAGAAGTGTGAAATAAATTTTTTTAAATTAAAGATGGTCTTGGTAATAGTGATTTTATCATACTTAACTGAGGTGGCCACAGTTCCCTAGAAGAACAGGCGGAACGTGGCAGGCTTTGACAAGTTCTCCCGCAGCATTGCTGTAGCTCTTGCTGCCCTGCTCCATGCAAAGGGCAGATAAGGAGCAGTGGGAGATAAGGCACAATCTCAGGCTCGCAGGCTCTCTGCTGCGTGCTGCCGTTGCCAGCACTGGTAGGAGTCAGAGCACCACGTGCCAGCTCCCACCGGGACACGGCTCCCCTCTCCTGGCTCCATGCTTGCACTTACGCTGCCCTGGAGCCCTTTCATGGAAGCAACCTCCTAAAAAGCTTCCTAAATAGTGCCAGATGAGTATTGGAGTCAGTAGTAGAGATGGATACATACCCCAAAATTGGTCAAGAACTTTGCATACCTATTTGTATTTAGCAGTGGAGATTTGATATAACACAATTGCAGGGTAGTTTCAAGTCCACCAAAAAAACCCTGTGGAAAAGCCAAAATTATGCAGGGAAAAAATCCCACGGAACCCGACAGACAAAATGTGGCTCCACCTCTTAAGATGTCAGCCCTCACTGGATGCTGAAAGGCCTTTTGATGCAACAAAGCCCAAAGAAAAAGGTTAGCTGGATATATGCTAGGCCACTCTTTGTAGTTGAGGCCAAGAAGCTTCCAGAACTAGACCCAGAAAATGCCACTAGACTCTTCAGAGCATCTCAAAGATAAGAACTCAACCTGCTCTTATTAAGAAATTACTCTCCTTTACATGATGGCCACAAAGATTTATCTACAAGAAGACAAAATATCAACTGGCAGAACAGTTAAATAGCCGATTATAGTAAGGTTTTGAAGAAATCTAATGTATTTGGCTTTATATGTATGCTCATATATACCATACACATAATAGTTCTAGATGTAGTCTATACAATATATACAGTGGTACAGCATCTAATAGTGTATGTGTACAAAATGCACATGTACGCACA